CAGTAAAGTTCTCTAGAGCAAACTTCTCAGGAGGCCGCGCACTCCGGGTCGGGTTCATGCGTCGTGTGATCTGTCCCTCTGAGAAGGCCCGCCTCACTGTTTTCTTCCTAGAAGCTGAGGTCGGGGTTCGGACTGGGAAGAAATCTGGCATTGAGTTCAATTCTGCCAATAACTGAGCAAGCATGGCTTTGTTCTCCTTGATGTTCATGGTCCTTTTCAGCAGAGCATCTGAACTCTCCTGGCTCTCATCCCGAGAGTCGTCCTCAGACTCAGACGTAGAATCTTCCCTTTGCATCACCTGTCTACGGCCTTTCTTTCTTCCAAGAACTGCTTTTTTCTCATTCTGTAAGCGTGAGCTAGAAAACAGCTGCTCAGAACTGTTTTTATCTGGTTTGTTGGCCAGCTTCTTGGTGGGAAACTGAAAGGCTACTCGAAGACCAATACTACGTCTTCGAGACCTTCTTCTTCTTGGGGTAGCCTTATCTTCATCTTCCTCTTCCTCGCTCACCAAAGATGCTTTACCATCATCACTCAAATCTGACTCCACAAGCATTACTTCTGGGTTAGTCTTTCCATTCAGATCACTCTGTGTAAATCCTGCAAAATCCTCAGTCTCTGAGTCAGTGTCCTCTATAAAAATTCTTCTTAGCTCTTCAGTGAAGTATTTGGAATGAAAGTGCATATCCTGCTGTTTCCCTGACTCCAGTGAGTCAAAACTATCGCAGCTCTCCTCTGACGAGAGGGTTTCCATGGGAACATCACCTCGGAAGCCCACGAACTCTTCATCATCACTGGTGGCGTTAATGATATCAGCCACTTCTTTAGGGATCTGGTAGCGAGTCGCCAACTCCATTCTTCCTAAAGAGGCTCCAGTCTCCTCCAAGCACTCGGCCACGAGAGCCGGCCCTCGCCACGGGCTGGACGCACCAAGAACTCCCTGGGGCCGAGCAGCCGGCGCGCTCCCCGAAACTCTTTCTTTAGAGAGTGTAGAAACAGATATTTCCAGCCATATACAGACATATAAGAAATAGCGGTAAGATCAAGGCTAAAACACTGGAGAAACGTATATATCAAACTGCTCAGCTCTGTGTTCCTTCACCTTAGTAAGTTGCATCTATGTTTAGATTCATCGAGTTAGAAACACGTTTGTTCAAAAAGCTGCGTTTGGATATTCCTGATTGAATGGGAATATATGATGTAATGGGAAATATCTGGGTGTGAAACGAAAACGGAGCTATCTAGCAGAATGATGGTCAAAGCGTACATTCAACTTACAGAGTAAAACTAATGTGTGAATGTTGCAGTTCAGAAACCCTTTCTGTGGAGAGTGTAGAAACAGATATTTCTAGCCATATACAGGTATATAAGAATTAGCGGTAACACCGAGTCTAAAACAGAGGAGAAACGTATATATCAAGCTGCTCTGCTGTGTGTTCGTTCACCTTAGAAAGTTGCATCTATGTTAAGATTCATCGAGTTAGAAACACGTTTCTTCTAAAAGCTGTGTTTGGATATTCCTGAGTGAATGGGAGTGTAGGATGTAATGGGAAATACCTGGCTCTAAAACAAAAACAGAGCTAT